TTCAAATATTAAAATATATTACAAATTAAAACAAACTCAGTTAATAATAATATAAAAACGAATTTTCATAAACCAATATTTATTTGGTATTTTAACTATTAATAAAATAATAAACATTCRCCAATTCCTTTCATTTAACCAATTTACATAATATGATAATATTTAGTTTAAATTRTATTTTAATTTTCAGGTTAGGATGGTACGCGAGAGACGTAGAGTAGCAAGAATACTCTTTGTCTTAGCAGTAATATTTGCTTTATGTTGGTTACCATACAACTTATTAACACTTTTTTTAGACTTAGATATCGCACTTGATAAATTTGGTCTAGATCAGGTATTTACGATATTACATCAAACTATTTTGTCTTTTTTCGTACATACGAAATATAATATAAATATTCAATATGTAATATACCTTATCTTTTTTTTAGGAGTATTTAATGAAGTGGTATCCTTTCACACTACTTTTAGGCCATGCGAATTCAGCGATCAACCCTCTGCTGTATTGTTTTATGACGAGGAATTTTCGAAGAACAATTAAGGGTTTCGTATGTAATACTGGAATCGCTAAACCGAGAAGACGAAATCGATGCAAAGTAAGTTGATAGTCTACGACTTTCAATGAAAAAAATGTAATCCTTTTGTCGAGTATCTATATGTATAATAGATATGAGTGTATACATCATTTTTAGTACAGAGAAATTAATATATATATATATTACCATATTAAAAACCATCATCAGATTTGATGTTTTAGGCCATATTTCTTCATATTTTTAATATTATATTGGATAAAAAAATAAACTTTAAAAGTACAAAACTTTTGTTGTATAATGATGAGATGTAATGAAAAAAGGTCAATATTGTATAATTGASGTTGGCAACCTTTTTGATACTGTTAAGTGCCAAAAAAATAAATAGACATTTTTCACGGGTCACAGTTTGAATACGCCTTATTTTATTTTAAATAAAAATGTGTTATAATATAAAAATTAAATTACCTATTTAAGTCACCTATTAACTGTTAAGTATATCAATTTAAAAATATATCTACCAATAAATAACGTTTTAATACCCCGTTTCTAGAACATACCATCTAAGTCCATGGTTTTTATACACAATATCTATATTTTCATACAAATTATAGCTTTTACTCGAGGGTCACAAAAAAATGTTAAGAGTGCCACATGCAGTTAAAAATGTCAAATACATACAATATAATATTTACAAATTTCCTGATAATGTGAAATGCAATATTTTTATGTTTTGGTTCATCCTTTTTTAGAACATTAAATTTAATTGTTTACGAAATAAAAACAAACCTTTGGTTTTTATTTCCTACAAATATGTTCTACATATTCTAATAATCGTATAATATGTCATAAAAATACATTTTACATACYCAAATATACGAAAAATAAATTAATAATACACCTTATTATAGATTAATTTAAATTCAATTAAAATATAAAATCAATGGATTGAGTATGTACTTAACAATTTACATGAAGTYCAAACCCAAAAATATTCAATAAACTTGTATATATTATATTAATTTGTCGTCCAAACAATATGAAATGTAAAGAAAAAGTTTATACTTACCTCAAATCACTCGAAATATAGAAGCACGTAACAAAAAATTTGAAAAATAAATTATAAGTCTGGATTTTCATTAATCGGTTTCAGAAAGGGCTGACCGAAAAAAGCACAACAAGTGGATACGGCTCGTTCCGCAACCCACGTCGGCTGTGTTTCACCCTAGCCCAGCTACGCCAAAACAATACAGTCCAAACACGAACTGCAACGATATCAAACCTTGCTGTTCTGTAAATGAAAAAGAGTTCATTTTGTAATATTATATTGTATTAATTTGCTTGAATTAATTTGTATATCTATATAATTAATGTATTATAATGTATAAAGCTTGATGTATGTCCAATGTCCATACTCAGTAAAACTACTATTATGTTTTTTATTATTATTATTACTATCATCATAWTTTTATTTTTTTATAAATACCTTACTAAACTTTTTTCTTAAATTTAATGATTTGAATATATAATAATATTACTGTACATACTTACTTAATATTGCTCCTTTATAGAAACTTACCTCAATGGTATTATGTAATTTTAAGACTCCTACATCAAAGTACATACAATATTATGTAACTATTCAATGTCACCTATATAATATTATAATATTAATAATGCAACATTCATATTATATAAAAATAAGACAAAAACTAATAAAAAACCAAACATGGATCGGAGGTCGGATATTGCAGAATACCGATAATATAACTGTCTCACTCTCGTTTAGCTCACTTTAATACCAGATGATATTATTGGTATGAATGAATATATTTTAGTACAAATTTTAATCACTATTAAACATTCAAATAACRATTCTATAAGCGATGATGACTGACCAACCATATTTATTGAAATTCCAAGTTGAACTTGAACTTAAAAATTCTATAAAAATAAATCGAACAAAATATTATCATCATAAAATATTTCTGTACTTCATACTTTGCAGTTTGCACYCCTTATAAATGATACCCATAATTTTATTATTATATAAATGAATAAAGACTTTTGAATAATTCTATCATATATATTTTTGACATAATTTATTTTATTAATATTAATATTTTGTGAATGAAATTTAGTGTAAAATTTAAATAAACGATTTTATAGAATGTCCAAAACCCACTGCGAAGGTGCTAAATTATGACAACATGTTCAAAATTTTTTAGYAAAGTTTTCAGAATTGATGGTAGGTATAATAATTATCTATGTTATTTCCGATCAATTTTTACAAAAATATTAAATTATGTTTGATAGGATTTTAAATATTTATTTTTTGCATAATTTTTAATATTTTTAAAAATAAAATACATGTTTTGCCGTTAATTAGTTCATATAAATCCTAGCTCTGACTATAAATCTAACCTACAAATGCATCAAATATTTGCTTAGATTTAAATAGAAAATTTTCAAATTTTATGAACCTATCAAAAAAAGAATAATCATTTTCAAACGGAGTATAAATCTATATAATTATTAGATACATATTATACGCCTACAGTTTTTATAATTATTTTGTTAATTAAACCTACTTTATATAACATCAAGTTTGTATGATTTGATTTTTAATCTTGAATATATAATAAGTGTTATAGTAATTGTTTTAAATTCTTGTAGAATTATGATCTTTGAAATTGCAATATATAACAACCAAAGTTGATTTTAGTAGATGCATATAAAATATATTTTAATGATATTGTTMTAAAATAAATAAATATGTATCTATTGACGTATTTCTATAAATATAAATAATAACTACAAATKATATATTTTGGCATTTTATTGGTACTTATTCCTACTATATATTATGTTGTAATAATCGATTGACGAGTGTTTGAATAATCAGGCGGTCGTATTAATCGTATAACTATTTTGTATGTTCAATTATATGTATGTGACCAGTTGTAATAATTTTTGAGATTAATCAACATTTTGTGGAAAGTTAGTTTAAGACGATAAATATACGTTGATTCATTCATTTTTTAAAGTAGGTACAATAACTTTTAGAATTTAAGTTTTTTCATCATCCTCTGCATCTTATATCATATTTCAGTCGTCTGATGGACGTTCTTATAATTATTTTCAAAATCTTATATAAATAAACTATAGTTTTTTTGTATACAACCTTTATTATTTTATTTGCCATATATGAGTTGATTAAAACATTCATAGAAATATAAATTTATGTGAAAATTGAAGAAATTTCGATGTTTCATTGTTTTATTTTACGTACCTATGTGTATAATATGGCCTAGAGTTTAAGCCTTTCGCGTGTATGACCTCAAAAAAATATTCCCAGCAGCTAAAACAAATTGGTAAAAAAAATCTTTAAACATATTTCCGCCCGATACGCCATTTATACAATTTTCTGCACTTAGTTATATGTTCACATAATGATGTAGAGTATTTTGTTTTAAAAGGCCAAAAGAACTTCTATTGATGTTTCTTGGTACACAATTTAACATTAATATTTTTAATATTTATAGTCAAGATTCGTTAAAACCTGAGAGGCTACATAWCATATAGGCGAGCACATAGAAATCCGAATTAGCCTGAACTTTTTTCAGGCATCAACAGCCACTAAATATTGAATTATTAGACTGGATAAATTTTAACTCTATA